GAGAGAGAGAGAGAGAGAGAGAGAGAGAGAGAGAGAGAGAGAGAGAGGAACAAGCTGGTATGCTGCCATGCAAGAATACAGAAAGAAGGAAGAGATTCATACCCTTCCTTCATTAAGAGCACCTCAGTTGCAAAACTGGAAATGGAGGGGTCAAATAGGCTACAAATTTCAGATAGTAGGAGAGAGGGAAGAAGGGAGCATGTGAAGGCTGGAGGGAAGCAGGAAGGGAGCTGGAGGAGAGAAGGATAGAAAATGAGGCCAGGGATGGGGAGGCCCTGGGAGAAGCCTATGATCTGATGGCTCTGAGGAAGTCATTTGCTCCAGCCCTGCATCTGAATCTTCAAAATGGGGCTGAACTTCCCTCCAAAGCTTACACTTAGGAATAAAAGAACAGAGTGCACATACACACACACACACACACCACTATTTTTCAGCCCTAAAGAGTAGCTAACTGCTGCTTATGGGAAGCAACGTATCTGGCTGGGGTTAGGAGTACTGCAAGAATGGACTAGTCTATGAACAACTGAAAGTGGACAACTCCCTAAGCGCCTTACCAGAGCTGACCAGCAAACACAGATGGTTGGAGGAAGGCTTCCTTTCCTTTCCTGTCTGCTCTACAATTGTGGGTGATGCAGTGAGCAGGCTTGAGAATGACACTCCCCTTAGCGGCCCTCACCCCAGCTGTTCCTTTACTCCCAGGAGCCCTCCCACCTCTCCCAAGTGGAGCCAGCTGTTGTCACAGAAGCGAAGCCACTTGCCTCTTCCCTGGCCTATGAGTCTCCAGTTCCAAAGACCTCGGGAAAAGTAAGGCAGCTTGCTGGAGGCCCTTGCAGAAGGAGGAAAAACAAGACAGGAACTAAAATTAAACGGATTGTCTACAAACATTTTTTTTAATTAAAATTGTGATTCATTTTCAGGGGACAAGAGGCCCTCTAAGAACAATTGTGCTTCCTAAGTGACGGGCACCAAGCTTAGCAGCTTTGCCCAGAGCCAGAGAGGGAAGGGAGGTGACAGGGAGAGGCATGGGTGGGGGTACTTCCCCTTCTAGGGAGAAGAAAGCAAAGTGGGAAGTGGAGGGGTGGGACTGGAAAGAGGGAGCTGGGAAGAAACCTCCAGGGCCTCTGCTGCAGAGGGGCCAAGCTTGTTGGGGACCCTAAGGCTGGGATTTTGAGTTTTCTTTTGTTCTGTGAGATTATGCCACCTTCTATCCCCCTTTCTTATCCCAGGAGGGCCCCAGCCACCAGCTTTGACAGAAAAGACAGAACAACCCACCCACACAGCCTTGGCTTTAGGGTAGCCAGGGTAGGGGGAAAATGGAATCTGGGAAAAAGAGGGAGGGAGAGAAAGAGGAGAGGAATGGAGAGAGAGAGAGAGAGAGAGAGAGAGAGAGAGAGAGAGAGAGAGAGAGAGAGAGAGAGAACTGAGGGTGTGAGGCCGACTTGAAAAGCAAAGAGTGACTGTGTGTGGGCTGCTGCTCCAGTGTCAGCAGAACCCAGAGCTTGAGACACCCCCGCCCCCCAGGCCTTCCTAGTCACTTCAAGGATCTGCTGTCCATGCTGACATCCCTCCCCGCCTTTAGATCCTTCCACTGGGGAATATAGACTCAGCATATGAATTGGGGTTCAGGGACTGTCTTGTACCACATGAGAACTGTGCTCTGTGCACTAGCGACACCCACTTGTGGAGATGCCACCCCGTGTCCACCGCTTGAGCTTTTAAGGAGGCCATGTCCACTGCCACCATTTTCCAGGACCCTCCCACCTTCCCCCAAGTTCAGACTGCCAGGCCTTCTTCCAGAGCCACCCATGTCCTGGGGAGAGGATGGAGAGCCACATACACTCAGAGAGAGAGAGAGAGAGAGAGAGAGAGAGAGATCTAGTTCCTTTTCTTTTGCCCTAAAATCCTAAAAGGTTCTGTTTAACAGTCAAGAGATTTTTAAGTCAAAAGAAATTAATTAAAATTTAGTTTTTTCAGGACGGTGTATTTGTATTTTCACAAAATCCCAAAGTAGATGCAGCTGGAAAACTCTAGAAACACAGAGAGCATTAGGAGACAGAAACTGGTGCAGGACACAGAGGATGACCCTGAGGAACCCATACTTCGGACAAAGAAGGGGGAAACCAAAAAGAACTCAAGACCAATCAACACCCTCCCCAAACCCACTCCCAACCCTGGTGCCACAGTGTGTGCGCACCCTCCCTCCCTCCCTCCCTGTACTTCCGGATTCTCACCCTAACCCTGAGACTCATCATTTGCTAGGTCTTCTCTTTTTTTTGGGGGGGGGGAGGGTATGTGTGTGTGATTTTTGAATCTTTCAAATATAAGACAAAAATACACTTTATCATCATAGATATATATATTTCACTCTCACCACATAAATACAAAAACATCCAAGGAGCCAAGACGTCCAGAACACAATTAGTAGCCGCCAGGATTCAGTGACACCTACCCGCGTTTGAATCGTTCGTTATTTTCTTCGCTATTTGCCGAAAGAGAGAGAGAGAGAGAGAGAGAGAGAGAGAGAGAGAGCGAGAGAGAGGGGGGGGGAGGGAGGGAGGGAGGGAGGGGGAGGGAGAGAGAGAGAACAGAACAAAAAAAGAAAATGAAACATGAAATGGGAAAAAGAAAGATGAGAAAACTTCGGATGTAAATAATTTACAGTAAAGTTACTTTGTTCTTTAAAATGTTTTGCGCTTGTTTCAGATGGGTGAATACATTCTAGACACTGAGGCACCTCGTTCTGTAGGCCTGTGGTTTTGGTTAAATCGCGAATGGTGATGGCTCTGGGGGCTGCGGTTGCAGTGAGGGCTGGGGCTGCCTGCACCCGCGTGGTAGTAAGGGTTTTAACTCGGGATGGGATGTCTGACACCCTAGGGTTGAGAAGGGAGAGGAAGTGCTAGTCCGGCCAACCAAACCAGGAACCACTGGCACCAAGAAACTAGGAACGGTGAAGGCCAAGCCGGACACCCCAACCTGTCCTTCGGAGAGCAACTGCTCAAAAATCCCGGCCCTTACTGCTTGGTGCAAAGCCTTTGTAGACACAGGAGTTTAGAAGCCGAAGCAAATATAATGGGTGCTGATTTATTTCCAACCCCGGCTATCCTGCTGTAGCTTTGCTTCAGGGAGCCTCTCGAAAGAAGCTCCCATGACAGGAGACTGACACAAGCCACCGTGCTCTCTCCTAGGAGGAGCAGGAAGCTGTGGGCCACCGCCCTGAACAGTCCCAGAAAAGAAGATTCTCAATCTTCTGTCATTGGCTTTTTCTTTGCGGTTCCTCTTTAAATTCCTATCTAAAGTCACAGCACTCGGGATTTTAATTTTGCACGTTCTGTAGTGCGTCCTCTAGCCTGAATTTCGTACATTTTGCAAACTCAACTATTTATGAGTATTTAAAAACAGGTAACACTCCATCTGGTTTTATGTAAAATTACTCTTGCTTTATTGCTGTTAGATCAAATTTATTACCACCTTTGCCTAACAGGACGTTTGCTTGATCGTTTCTCGGGGTCGGGGAGCCTGCGATAGTTTTCCTAAAGGAAATAAAACCCATCAGCTCTGTTCTGGACAGGAGCTGAGTATGCACCAATTATCCTGAGAGGTCTAAAAATCGGGGCCAGGAACTCTCCCAAAGCCCAGGTTTCTCTGACAAGAGGGTATAGGCCCTTCTTTTGGGTCTAAAACAAAACAAAACAAAACAAGAAGCCTTTTCAGTCCCTGGCGTCCTACGAACATAGTTCCTCTTGCGAATATTCATAGGAGCACTGTGCATTGCCCCTATCCCGAGCAGGTGTCAGGGCCTGGACTTAGGCTCAGTCTATTCCTTCCCTGGCTAGCAAGGTGGGGGTTGGCTAATTCGGGTATTTCTCCCCAATTCTTTGGATCATTCCTGGATTTAGAAAGAAGCCGGAGTTGGAGGGAGGGAGGAAAAGTAGAGAGAACAAAACAGCCCGAGTGAGTTGAAACCAGTAAGTAGCCTGCACGGAGAGTGGGTGGGGTACGGGGAGGGGCAGTCAGAGGCCTAGTGGGGGCCAGGAAGGCCAGCGCAGGAGCACTGGGCGCCTAACGCGCGCAAGTTCATAAATACCACCACAAGAGATGTTATAAATATAAATACAGGGTAACACTTAAAATCAGTCTAGCGCTTTTTTCTCGGCCCCTTCTTTATTGTTGGTCCGGGAGTAAGGCTCGAAGGCCGAGGAGCTCAGGTAACGGGCTGAGAGTTCTTGCAAATTCCCGGCTAGCGAACCAGCCATCGTCAACGGGGCAGAGGACAGGCGGCTGGCGACAGAGCCTAGCAGCGACGGCACCGGCAGGCTGAAGAGACCGTGGCTAGCAGTCGGTGCTCCCGCGTGCAGTCCCCCCTGCCCTGCAGGCCCCGGGCCGGGAGCGCCACCCACGGCCGGCGGGTGCTGGGACGCCGCGCCCGCGGGACCCGGGGCAGTGGCGGCGGCGGCGGCGGCGGCGGCTGCGGAGCCCGCGGCAGCGCCCGCACCGAGAGCCGGGAGGCTGGGCCCGCGCAACGCGGAGCCCAGTGCGCCGGTGGCACAGGGCGGCAGTAGGGCGGGCAGCCCGGGAGGCGACAGCAAGCGGCCTTGCTCCAACAGCCGCAGCACGCTGCACGTGGCGGCGGTCTCCGACACCACCGAGCGCAGCTCCGAGTCCTTGCCCTGGTCCTTCTTCTGCTTGGTCCTCCGATTCTGGAACCAGACCTTCACCTGCGCGCAGAGAGGCAGGAGGAAAAGTGAGAAAGAGCAACAGGAAAAAGCAGGGTCAAAAGCTACAGGGTTTTTTTTGGGGGGGTGCCTGGGCTGCTGAGACCCTCCCCCAACCTCAGCCCACGCCGCAGCCCCACCCCGCAGCAGACAGTCTCAGCTCCGAAACAGCTAGGCGCTAGCGGAGCAAGAGCCACCACGAGGGGGACACCACTCCATTGGGCAACGCTTCCGGGTCAAGCAAGCAGGCCCAGGCCAGCGCGGGTTACAAAAGCAAAGTAGTAAAAATGTCCTTGCCACTAGGGAAGAAAGACAGAACTATTTCGGTGTGCTGCTGCGGTACCCATGGGGCGGTTTTGGGTTCACAAACTAGTGAATCAGCGCAGGCTGAGAGCTTAAGGCCAGAGCAAATCTGTGCAGGAAGCTGAGGAACAGTGTCTCAGGCTTCCTAGATCTAGATCCTAGCCCAGTGAGTTCAAATTTAATACCAGAAAATCTATTTGCGCCTCTTAGAGGCTCCGAGGAACTGCTTCCTGCTTGTTAGGCCAAAGACTGATCATGAACCAAGAGCAGACAGGGAAGGTCCGGGTGAAAAGCAGACAGTTGTGCAGGGCGGACCTCACAGCCGAGCTTCCTCTACCACCTTTCTTCACCAGCTGGTTTGAAGGGTCTAAACGCTTCTTTTAATTTATCCCTCCCTCTGCACTCCATTGGAAACTTTGGAATCATGGGAGGAAGATCGGAGGCTGAGAGAGACTAAATAAATTCCAATCTTCCCCCCTCTTCCCTTTCTGCCTCTTCTGGCCTAGAACAGAGGGTAGTGTCTATATGGAAAAACTATCCTATTTAGATTTTGAAAGCTAAAGGGGGTTAACACAGACACAATTAAAAACACGTTACGATGTCAACTTAAGCTCAGATTCTCCCATCTGTTCTACCCTCAGTTCTCAATATTCAAGTCCAGATTTTAGGCCTAAAACGCTCTCTACCTGTTTCGGGGCTGGGCATAGGAAAAGAAACTAGAAAGAGAACTGAGCAACCCCTCAACAGCCCGGAAAGGGCAAAACCTCCCTCTAGCGCTCTGGGCCCTTAGCTCACAGGGTCAGCTTCAAAGCAGCATGGGACTTTATGGTAAGGAGAGGACCTAAGATGCAAAAGACACAGTATACACGGTGGGCACCCAAGTTACCAGATTCGCTGCCCATCAGACACTCCCTGTCACTGGCACAGAGAACAGTGCCTCTTACTCAGGGCTGGCTGTTTAAGGGATGGGGGCTGCCATATTTGCACAGGCAGGTTTCTGAGATTTGGCACCGCTTTCTAATCCTGTTTCCTGCAGAATTGATCTAGGTGCTGAGTAAAGCTAAAAGCCCCAAAACGGGGTGTTACTGGGAAAATAGCCAAGATGGTATGTATCCAAATGGGGGAAAACAGGCTTTTAAAAATCAGAAGCCATCCAAAAATTCTTAAGAGCCAAAAAGAATTCCAGAAGGACAGAATATGGGGCCCCTGAGCCAAGTCAAGATATGCAGAAATTAGACTATGGCGTATTTGTGAATGAGGAGAGAACATGACAGTTTAAGAAAGAGGGGGGAGCCTAAGACATCCGTCCCCATCCGTTCCATCTCCTCCACGTCCCTGGGAGGTTCGGTCCAAAGCAAGGTAGAGAGGAAAGGCAAGCTGCCATGCTGGGGAGGAGGGAGAGGAAGCCTGGTGGTGTAAGCACCTGGCAGCTGGATACCTGAGTCTCAGAAAGATTGAGCTGCCGAGCCAGCTCGGTTCTCTCCCGGCCCACCACGTATTGGCAACGCTGGAACTCCATCTCCAGCCTGTAGAGCTGCTCCGCCGTGAAGGACGTGCGTGTCCTCTTGGGTCGGTCCAGGTCCAAGCCCTTGGGCAGGATGATTTCTCGGATAGACCCCTTGGCATCTAGAGAAGGATAGATGTCAGTCACCAGAACCCCCGCCCCTGGTTTTCATTGCCTCTTTGACCTGAGCTAGATAGGGAAAAGTCTCTGGTAAGCTATGGCCGGTGTATGGGGTGGCTGCAGCCCTAAAGCCCTGGGTGTATGGACGCCAAGGGGGTTAACTTCATACCATTAACAGGGAGAGTAGCTAAACTGTCTTTGAAGAGTTCTCCCAGACATCGGAGGAGGAAACAAACAAACAAACAAACAAGAACAAAAACAAAAAACCAAAACTGAATTCCAAATAGATGTGTGCTCCTTCGGGCCTAGGGACCCTCTGGTGTGTGATCCCAGTAGCCTAAATGGGGCTCTTACTGATAACCCCAGTCCCAGTATGGTCCCAGATTGCAGGGCAGCCTGCACTCCTGTGGTCCCCACCCCCATCCCGGGTCTCCAGCTCGCTTCAGTCCAGGCAGCGGAAGGAGGAGGGACCGAATGTCCTCTTGCTGGGCCTGGCCATCTGCTAGCGGGGGTGGCGCCGGCTAAAGCCGGGCCTCGGCGCCACCAATGCCCGGGAGAAGCGCACGCCGCTCCTTGAACGAGGACCAGCCAAGCAAAGAGGCGGCATCCGTAGCCCTGCGACCCAGCTCGGCAGTCTCTCTAGGCGACAGCGGCCAGGCCAGGAGCGCATCGCCCGGGCCCTCAGCCTCTCCAGCTAACTGGTCGGTGCTGGCCGGTGGCCGGAGGCTACTGGTCCTCGCTCAGTGGTCCATCTGGTGTGCTCTACCCTCCAGGGCGCAGATGCCTGCAGGCCCGAGGTCGCGCGCACGTCCCCCCCCCCCCGCCCCGGAGTTGCTGGGTCCGAGCCCCAGCTTGCTGGCCGGTCCACAGCGCCTGGGTTCCTCCCGGTAGCCGTGCTGCGGGGCCCCTCCGGGCTGCTAGGGCCCAGGCTCCGAAAGAGCGCTTTCGGAAGAGCCCCAGGCACAGGTCCTCGCGGCCGACCTGACCCAAGAAAGAGAGGGCCAACAACAACTTTCTCCCAAGTCCTCGCCAGCCCTAGGCGGCAATGCGAAGCTGCAGCAGGGGAATTATGCCCAAAAGAACGCGCCCCAAAGCCCTGCCCATCCCTACCTCGGACTAGGATCCGGCGGCAGTAATCTGGGTCTGCTGAGGAATTGGATTTACTTTTGTTACAATCTTCCGAAGCGCCAGACGCCGAAAAGGCGCCCTGCGGCTCCTTGAGGAAGGCGGCCGGAAGGCTCCCCTCGGCGCCCTTGATCTCCCGGCTCTCCTTGTGCGCGTTCTTCGAGACCCTGGCGGCCTCGGAGTCCGAGTGGCACCGGACGTCCATTTTGTCTGGTTTCCCGAACATAGGCAAAAAGAAAAAAGAAAAAACAAAACAAAAAAAAAAAAAAACACAGAAAAGAAGAAGGGGGTAGAAAAAAAAAGGCAGAAAAGGACAAAACCCCTACAACGCAGCACCTAAGCTCGGTCGCCCGCCAGAATGAATGTCCCCGCGGGGTGGCTTCGGCGGCCGCGGAGGGTCAGCGCAGACAGGAGAGTGGTGCGCTGGTAGAGAGGCGGCGGGTCTTGTCCAAGATCCCGGTGGAGCAGTGGCGAGGCCGCCTCGTCAGCGCTCGCGTCCTCTGAGCACGTCCAGTGTCCCCAGCCTGGCGATCAGGTAGCGAACAGCGCAACTCCGAAACGCTGCGGCTCCGCCTGTTACTGAGACGGCCGAGTTGTGGTTGTCCGACACCCGGGGGGGACGCACACTCGCTGTTGCAATTGATTACGGGTAATTTCGCAGCCCCCACGTTTCAGTTACCTCACGAGTACACTAAATTGTTTGGATAATATATCAGATCGTAATGGATGGTTTCTGTCCTTGTTCCCAATCAAGTAGGGGTTTAGCCAGTGAATAAACGGAAATGATTGGTCTTGCTTTCGGGAAACACAATCAAAGACCCACACTTCCAGAAAAACTTTTGACAAGATTCATCCTGAATTGTTAGCACCATTAGCATTATTAACTTTCTCTTTGCCTTTGACCGTCCTGCTCACATACTGGCTAAAGGGGGTTTCCTCCAGACTCGCCGGATAGAGCCGGATGGGGGTGGGTGTTACCCCCTAGTCTCTGTAGTTGAAGAAAGCAGTCGCCTCTGGGTGGGGAAAGAAGGGGGGAGGAGAAAAGTTTCCCCCTAAAGTCTCTCCCCCACACTCCAAAAAAGCCAAGCTTTCTCTCTAAGCGACTCCTTAACACACCTCGACGCTGACAGCCATCTTAAACTGCCGCCCCTCTTCCTGTAGCCCCAGTTGGATTTTTTTCATGCCTGCACCTCCAGCAGCCCTGAGGCAGCCCATTCAAAGGGCAGCTTTGTACTCAGAGTGGGGGGGGGGGTGGAGGGAGGGAGGGAGGAAGACGAGAGAGAGAGAGAGAGAGAGAGAGAGAGAGAGAGAGAGAGAGAG